TTGCACCGTATTTTATATTTGTTAATTTTTTCCCGCATGATGGGTTATACAGCTAGAGGTGTACGAATATAATAAAAAGCTATATTATAATTTATAATAAACACACAACAAGTGATAATTTTCTATAATTACACAATATACCTATTACCTATAATCTATATATTATACTTATTAGTTTTAATTGCATATTATACAATCGAGCCTCCATAACTACATTTTTTCTTGCCCCTTGAAATGTTATTAAGTTGTGTTTGAGGTATATAACTCGAAAAAAACAAAAGTCGAATTCATTTTTATTCCCCTTGAGATTCTAGTTATCGATATTAGATTGTTTATTATTATCATTTGTATAATATATTATATAATATAATAAAAATAGAAACTACATTTAAATAAATTTTGATTTATTTGATAATGGATTAATCTTTACAAAATAAAATAGCTATATCTATATAGTATTATATACTTACTACAAACTCGATGTGTTTAAGTATTTGAAAAATTCGTCCAAGCAAGAGTTAAACGTTTTAAAAACATTCCGGTGACTTTTAAAGCACTTTTAATCGTAAAACATATACTGATTTTTCGACTTAATATATTGCAACTGTTGATTTAATGGGTAATGATAGAGTATATTATGGTTATCGTTATGTAAACAAATAGAAATGTTTAACATATTAATATAAATAAAATTGTGGTAGAAATTCGTTTTAGTATTTATTTCGTTTGAGAGTTGTTATTAATTTAGGTAGTAAATGTTTAAATAATATATCGATATATGGTTGAATTCACCATATAAATTGGCTTTTTTTTAACTCCTCATTTTTAGTATATAACACAATTTACACCTCTCCTAGTTAACAATCACACTATTAAAAATAAAATTACGGTTTTCTTTCTTTATTTTAATATCACACGGAACACATGCACATAATAATTTATTAATTGATGACACAAATATCATGCAATCAAATTAACTAATAATTATAAAGATGACCGGTAATTACGTTGATATAATATTATGTTGTAAATGTAATAATACGATATTTGATTTGATTTTCTACTACTATAACTTATAATGCTTTACCTATATATTACTTAATATGTTCAATATACATTTCTGCCATTCTTTTTGATCTGAGTAAACACTAAACACATAGGCGTATTGAATGAAAACTGAACAACTGAAATACAGTTAAACAAAAAACGATTAGTAATAAGTATAGAATATAATAAGTTATAATACATTATATTGTTTTAAATAATACTTGACGTATTTCCATATGCCAATAAATATTATATAAATAATAAAAACAATAAACAAAATAACATAAAATTGCTATATTCAATGACAAAAATAATAACCGTAAAATTTGGCTTACAGAATTTTAAAATGTTTTATTACTTAACAATACCTTGTAATAGTTATAATATATAGTAATAATAATAGATAATAATACTATAATAGTAAATACTAAATAGTAATAACTAAATAATAAATCGTATTTCAATGATACCTAACTATTAAATGTAAACATTTTATAAGGATTTTTTCAAGGTGAACATTATAATATGTGTCCGAGTATACATATATACAGGGTGATTCAACAAGTATGCTCACCCCCATTTTTTCATTTAATATAATGAATTTACTCAAATTCTTCTTTTTGGAATTTTTAAATACTCTACTTAAAGACTGTAATTTAAAATTATTTGAGATTATTTATACTATTTGAGGAGTGTGGCCAACCAAACTTGTGTTTTGACATTATAATATTTTGTCTTATGTCTGGGGGGTCAAAATAAAAATTGTGTAACAAAAAACGTTTATGATGCACTAGCCCGTTTTCCTAGAAACTTGAAATTTGAACCATAGATTCCTTATGATGGTCTCGGTCTCATGCGAAGTATGAATTAAAGAGTTGAAAATCATCGCATTTCATCCCCCTTACATCTGCCATAAGACATATTAATGATCTTATTATTTTCCCAAAATTGTTTTACTTCCCGATCTCAAATGTACCAATACATTAATATATATTATTTATTTGACATATAATTTGATTACCATAATACATAATCCCAGATAGATATATTTTAGTAAATCGTTTCTTTAATGAGTTATCACGATAACGAACAAACAGTGTTTAAATACCCACGAAAATAGTTTAACGGTTAAGCCTTAACCACTTGTATGTCTTGTACTGGCGTCGTCAATACAAATTGATGTTTTCACTAAATAAGCTCTCCGCAAGCTAAACTCTCTGAAGCAGTTGATAGTAGGAATACCGCCGGTAAGTTGGATTAGAATCCCACATATTTTCTTCAAATTTCTCGTCTGTACGTTTTAGAAAAAAAAAATGGCGATTTAATCCACTCTATGGAAAATTAATCGATTTCAATCAACGGGTAAATGAACGTTAGTGGTCCGAACACTGGCTGATAACAACATTTTGCACTATTATTTATTTGTTTTATTTTTTGTTTATCGATTGACATAAAATATTTCAATTGAAACACTTTCCCTTAAAGGTAAATTATTTAGTGGATATTTAAAAAAAATATATTGATTATAGTATAATGATATTATAATAGTTTTTCAATTATTAAAATGTTTATACTTATACTATAAGGATACAATTCCTTAACAAAGGTTTTCCCAAAATATAAAAATTTGTAATATTGAATGTATTGGAATATTGGATCTATCACAAATTATAAATCTTATGATAGATAAATATTAATTACAAAAATGTTCAAATCCCCTTAGCCCCCATATCTTGTAAGCCCATTATTATGGACCTATTACCCATAGAACACAAAATTAAATTACTAAAAAAATGCTAGTTCTAATTTTGATTTTGATTTCAACATTGTCAACATTTTCAGAAAAATTATCCATCGAATAATTAACAGTATAAAATATTAGTTCTTGTTTGAAAAACAAAAGTTCGCATCTGCACAGGACACTGCTTATGTAGTACATAAAATCTTAAGTAGATATTTGAAAATAAAGTCTTTAAATATATTTAAAAATTCCAAGAATTCCAAAAATTAGATTTTTTATAACTGCGTTATTGAAGAAACAAAGCCATCAAGTTTTACATCACAAAGGGCATAGTTGGTGAATCACCCAATAAATATAAGTTGTTTTTTTTTTAAATAAAGAATTAAAAAGTCATATCTAACTAGTAGCCACTAAAATAAAATAGAAAAATTGACATTCTTACTTTGTTACTTAATAAAATAGAAAAATAGTTACATGATCATAAGTGTCATCAACTAGAGTCTTGATGCACATAGGTAAGTATTTATTACCAGTAATATTTTAATTAAATTTAATCGTATGTTTTTAAAAATGATTAATACCATAGCTACTCGATATTTTTCTTCTAAAAAGAAGATCTATGAATCATAAAATGTTAATATGTTTTAAATTTTTGTTAATAAGTAACAATGACAACAAAAACCTTATGAAAAATTGGTGAAAAACAAAAAATCATGAATCCAGCAAAAAAACATAATTATGTTAAAAAAAAGTTAGAAATAATTGTTAAGTAAATATACTAACGAGTTATAGTGAAGTTTCAATATGGTTTTATGAGTACAATGCAAAATTAATGACTGAAACTAATTTTTAGTGCGTGTATTACAATGCATTGCACATATTATAGTCGAAACACTTTTATTAATGGATATTTATACTGCCAAATATATAGTTTAAAATTATTTCTAACAATTTTATAATCACGATTAAATATATAATAACAGAATTATAAAAATTTTGAGTTTTACTGTTATTAAATACCAACACTTTTTATTATTTAATACCTAAACATATTAGGTATATTATATCTATATACATTAAACCTACTGGAAGGACATGTTTCATCAATTTTGATTTTATATAATTTTTTTAAATTAAATTTACCAAACGCATTTTAAATTTTTTAAGAAGACATTATTGTTTACATACCACAATATAAATACCTATATTTAGTTAATAATAATTTAAATGTATACTTCTTATTGTATTTTAACAACTTCTCACTATGTTTACGATAAATATAAATTGAATACATTTCATCGAAAATATTTCGATTTAAAAAATATTTCTAGACCCAATTTAGTTTTTTTTTTTTTTAATGAAACAACGAAACTAAAAAGGGAAACAATTTTAATTTTTATAATAAAGAATATATTATATAGAAATAACACACCTATGAATTTTATTTAGAGAAAATAGTATAAAACATCTATATTTAAGATAAAAATGATTGTTTTCTTATTATACCTACCTATGAAATTTATAATTTTATAATTTTTTGTCTCATTTTAAGTTATTACGTTCAATAGTTATTTCTATTTAAAAAAAAAAATTCAACCCAATGTTATTATATATTTAACTTTTCAACAGCGTAATCCTTTGTAACGTAATGGTACATTATACAGAGGCGACTATTAGAATAAAGTTATTGTAATTTTAAAACAAATTACAGGATAACAATTTATATTTCATAACAAGACGACGGTTAGAAGATTTTTTTTTGATATGTGTCAAATTATTGGCGGAGGGAGGGGCGTAAAAATAAAAAAACCCTTCTTATAAAAACGGAGAGTAATATACTAAGATGGATCTTATTTTCACAGAATATCCGTGGCTTAAAGTACAATAAAATTATGAATAGTGCAAGGAATTAATGGAGTTCAAATAATTATATGGTGAGTAGGAAAAAAACCAAAAAATTGACACTTTGTACGTCACTCAGCGGGAGGAGGGGAGGGGACCAAATGACCTTTTTAATAAACGACCTATTATACTATTTTAAGGGGGTGACGGCGCCTCGAGAAGTCTGCCCCCTCGTAGATCATCGGGGTCGGTGGCAATACAATATCATAGTTGATAGTATTATAGGTACATTTATGCACGACATATATTTTGTTTCTACATTTTTTTCAGGGGGGTGACCTTAAACCGCGTCTGCGGTTCGTGGAGCAGATCAGCGTGTGCCCAAACTGGCCAATATGAGGGACGCCTGTTCGTCTACCGACCGGCTGGGCTGGAACGTGAGGTTCGGTATCTTCTTGCCGATGCCACCGCCACCGGTCATCTTGTTCCTTCGGTTCCTGTTCAGATCATGCGGTGTCAGCGGTTCGTCCATCAGCCGCAGGATGTGAGTCTGGTCCGAGCTGTCGATGGGCGCCACAGAAATGTCCCTGACGGCCCGGAACCGGCCGCAGTTGTTCAGGTGTTCGTTCTCCAGCCGGAAGAAATTCCAAACGAATCTTCTGCGGTGTGCATAAATAACATAATATTATAAACATATTATTTTTTTTTTTTTTTTAATTTTTAGATATTAACAATCTGTGCTTGACAGCACAATAAGTAAATTCGATAATTTATGTACAATAATTTTAACTTGAATAACATGAAGAGGGAGGCCAACCAGTGATGGAACCCAACGTGAAATTATTTGAGGTTAGCAAATCTTTTCAGTATGTTTAAATTTGGTTTTTTTTAGTTGACATTGGTTTATTTGTTACAGTTGTAAGTAACGAAATGAGAGGCTTCATTATTAATTTGAATTCAGAAATGAAAGAGGAAAGTTGTGTAGCTAAGTTAGATTTAAATTGATTTGCAGTGTAATTTGCAGTATCATTTGGGGGAGTATGTTTAGGTATGTTTGAATGGAGAGATTGAGAGGTTAGCTTTGAAAAAGATGAGGTGTCTCTTATATTGGGATGGTTATGGTTGGTTTTAACACCGGAGTCCTACCCTTATTTACAATAGAATTATATTTTAAATAATTTCTTAAATTATAAGCATTTTATATGAAACTAGCTGACTTCGTTTTCCGTTAAAAAACTCTATATGACTCAAACTTTGTTCAATTCGTTATTTAATATTCGGTGTATTTTGTTCAAAATTTATCTTAACTTTTCTGTTGCCTGGAATAAAAATTCTGATTTGCAGCAGTATATTATCAGGTAGGCAATCTACCCTCGCGGAAACAACGCGGACCCTATGCTGTTTGTACGTAGCTTTATAATTTAACTCTGTATCAAAATTATACCAAGTATGTCACTGAACTCCTAATAAACGGCTAGACTAATTGTGAATGCCGAGTCTGTCCATGACCAATATTTCCTCTTCGTCCACGAAGACGTGGCATAGTTTTATGTAATTAACTTATATGCGAGTATTCAATATTTTCGTAATTGCGATACATATAATATCAAATATAATATCAAAACACAGCGCATCATCATGTATGCATTTCACGGCAATCAATAATTATTATTACACCTCATAGTTTTAAAACCCATGGCAACCATTAATAAACAAAAATTTCCACCGTAAATCTCTAAATCCCCGTTTGAGGACATCTGCTGGACCTAGGGGGATGATTTGAAAATCTAAACAATCTGGGAAGTCACCCAAACGCATACGAAAAAATTCATTGAAATCAGTCCAACCGTTTAGGAGGAGTTCAGTCACAACACACGTACAGTAGAATTATATAATATATAAAGATATACAAATAGTATATGAAATAACGTGAAAATGCATTGATCCATATACGGACCCGATAAATGATAATGATAGTTTTTGATAGAAAAGACAGGATTTTGTAATACATATGTGTTATTAATTATTCGTGTTTTTATAGACTATCAGTTAGGTAGGTACTGAACGAGTGTATAGTAAATACCAATTATTTATTATTATTGCGGTTTTAACATTTTTTTTTTATCGATATTGGTAATTTTTGCAGCCACAAGCGTCTAATCAATATTTTTTTAAACGTCGATTCTACAACTACGACGTAAATTTGTTTTGGTAAATTCTTCTCATTACGTACTATTCCTACATAGTTATTACATATACTATGATCACAACGTCCGCTTCATGACCACAACGTTTTTAATGAAATAATGAAATACAATTAATAGATGAGTAAATATAGGCATATTGCTAAGTATAAAATAACTCCAATAGTTTTCCTATAGTAGTATAGTATAATAGATCGTAGTTTTGAAGAAAAAGGTTGAAAAACAAAATATGTAATTTATTATAACCACGATGACCATACAAATTCTTAAAAATAATGAGTAGGAAAAATGTTAATAGTAATTTAATTTTTACAGATTCGTCATGATTTTATTTTTCATTTCTCTAGAGACACTTAAAAATGTAAAAAAAATGTATTTGAAATAAGTGACTAATTTTATTTCTTAACTTGTAGGTGGGTAGAATACTAGCTAGCAGTGTACCTACCTATTTTAAAACAAAAGAAAAAAATTGCATATTACCTAGCTATTTAAAATACGATTTTACGCATCGACAAATAAAACATACATGTTTATTAAATGTTTATCTGCTCACACTAAATAAATACATACGCACTGATGTATTAATTGGGTGTTAAGCAATAATAAATTAATAAACTACATTAATAATTATTATTATTTTGTTAATATAAATATTTGAAACGTAACAAGTAAACATTTTATCTTCTGATCCTATTTATTATGTAATATACAATCCAAAAAATTACACTAACTTTATAAAAATCTATTATAGAATATCGAAACAATATTGGAAATTTGTATGCACTCGATTAATTTCATGGATTAAATTTAATTATAATTTATTGACCGATTAAATTTTTTACCAGAGAAAATAATTGTCCTTATTAATGGTTTTCTTCTTTCCGACAGTAGTATAGACGAAGAGTATACATTCAAGTATTTAACTAATAATATAATATTACAAATAACAATATCACAATAAATTAATGAGTACATAAGGTTTATAATATCAATATGTGATATACCTGACTATGATTTGAGATCCTAAAAATGAATTCTCCCTATTTATTCTAGCATTCAATTATATTAATTTATTAATTAACTATTTTTTTTTTTTACCTTGTAATCTCAGTAGTAAGTGCCTACTCTTATATATTTTTTTTCAATGCAAGATAGTAAATATAGTTATAATGATAATATAATAAAAAATATCAATTATTTCGGAACATAAAGTGAAACTGTATACTTATCTTTTGATTTTGGACTTTAAAAGGCAATTATTTATTATGAGCAAAAGTACACAATGCGAGAATTCAAGGCTGAAACACTTGTATAGTTGTATGATATATTGTATAATTTTATTAATTATTAATATTAAGTGTTTTAAACAGAATTTAATGAAAAAGTGTACGAGTACAATACATTTTACCTTGGGAATTTAATATATACATTTTATGTATATCCATTGATTGATTCTATTATTGATTTGAAATAATATGAATGATATCCCAACAGTTAACTTAGTGAGCTACATTGGACTTCAGCGTAATGAATAAGCAAATCGATTGGATTTTAATAATTTCAAAATTCTTTCAACTGTCATTAAATACTCCTAATACCCTATAGCCTATACGTCATATAAGTAGATGAGTTATAGGTAATTAAATAAATCATGCAGTAGGTACTTTAATAATTAATCGCGTTTTAAGTTAATAGATTACTACGGAACTTGAGATATGCGAATGTATACACAAAATCGGTTTTACCGTTAAACTAAATTATAATTGTTTTTAAACTGTTCAAGAATACATCAGTTAATTATAATTAAAATAATATTCAACTGTAACCAACATTTAAGATGCTATAATTTATATAATGACACAACATGGTAAACTAACCTCATTACTTCGAGAGGCGACAGAATGGATACCATTAAGTCACCATGAACATAGCCCATTTCGGTTAGAGACATCGACAGGGCCCAACCGAAACGTAAGACAAAATCTTCAACGATCGCGATGTAGTAAAATGCCTGAAAATAAAATATAATTCGTAATATAAGCCATTGTAAAATATAAAATATATTTCTTTAGCGTTAAGACTTAATAGTTAACATCATACGTGCCGAAATTTCAGCATGGTAATAATTGTATTTACTATCCAATTTGTATCCAAAAATTATTCTAATTATTCCTTTACAAACATGAATGCACAAGTGACAATTCGGGGGCAGTAAAATAATAAAAGAGTATTTAGGCGATAAATTTCCCACAGTCTTTCAATCAAAATCGTTTTCAAAAAGAAATCGCATTATTATAACACTTTAAGTCACTAGAATAAAACTTATTATTTTATAATAAATTCATTATATTATCCTTATGATCCTCTCCATCAAGAATTCCATGAAACGCCACTAAGTCACTAGTCTATAATGCGTTTAATAGATGTATAATAATATTATAGATTATAGGTTAAGACTTAGTTGTGTTGGAAATTCGAATTGTTTAGCGTGTTGTATTTATTAATTTAAATTGGAAATTTTCAACAATTACGTAAAACCGTAATTTATTGTGAATTATGATAATTATCGGTTAATAACGTTCTATCTTATACAACCAAAAGGCAAAGATACTCATTAATACGAACATTGCAGGTACATTACACTTTATGTGTAAGTAGTTACTAACAATGAGTAACACGCATTAAGTACAACAAACACACCGTTTTTAACACATAAATATTAAAATATATGACGTATTTTGTGGAACGCCTTCGGTGCAATTAAACACGAATGACGAAAAATGAAAAAATGGACAATTTCAATTCTTATAGTATTTATTCTAGATCCTAAGACCAGGATATTGTTTAGGTTATTAAGTTGGATATTGATTAGTTAAACGTGTATTAGTCCAACACTCCTACAACGATATAATATATTTTTGTTGACTGTTATTATTTTTTGTGTAAACATCTATACGCACCCTTCCCAGAAAATGTATATCCTTGCAAACTTAATATCGTGCAAACAAACGTGTTACCACAACGAACGAAATTTCACAAATTTCCTTACCTACCTACCTACGACCTACTTATACTATATGATACACAAATACCTAGTTTAAGTATGGCTATAATAAAAAAATTATTCTGTTAGGTTTGGTATAAAATAAAAAAACTTTATCAAAAATCAAGACAGGCTCAAACTCGTGTTTTCACAAATAAAACTTTAAATCCATCGACTGCGAGCAATGTTCATAATAATAACACCAGTTTTGAGTTTAGTGTAACTTACCGTCGACGAATACACGATTTCTTCACGAAGAAATCTGTTCTCACCGGCGTTCCGGTCAAATAGTCCCCAGTCCATTTTTAAATCCCATATATAAGAATACAGAGAACTGAATATGGATGCTGATATCCACAGGTAGAAGTACACGCTAGGATCTTCTTCAGGGTTATTCTCTATATTAATAATAAAAATAATATCAACGACGGTTAATAACACCTTTAAACTTTAATCAATTATACATATATTATGTATTTATGTATATTATAAATTATAATACAGCCTGGAGTGGCACGATAAGTTTCATAATAGCTTTAACAAACCGGTACATTTAAGTTTAGTTTTTTTTAAGAAAAGTTTCCAACTTTTTTGAACCTCGTCCCCTAACATATATGATGATTATAACTTACAGTAAACATTAGTTATTTTTACAAAAAGTAATAAACTATTTCGACTTTTTTGGGGGGGAAATTAAATTTACATATATTACCTAAATTGTCATAAATTGTTTTCACCCGTTTATTAGTCTGTGAAACCACGGTTGACTATTTAAGTTTAAAAAAATTCCGGCTCATCAAAATATTACAGTTGAAAATTATAGTTAAAAAATTTAATTTTTAATTTCAGTCGTATCAAAAAAAAAAAGGTATAACGTATACAAATTGTCACAACAGATATATTAAAATATTATGATTACTGTCGGTCGTCGACGTATGCGAGTGCTTAGTTCGTCTTACTTGCGTATTGAAGGTTTAGAAATGAGAATGTTATCACGAAGAAGGTAGTTGCGTACTTGGCTGCGTTGGCCAAGTGAGGAAATGCTTCTCGTGAGTCCCGGTACCTTCTCAGGCACTGCATGAACCGGAACCAAGCGGGCAGACAGGCGACGAATGGCCGCAATAGCCACACGCGTTCCACGCACTTGCTGCCGTCTATATCGATTGCTGTACATTACATAAGAAAAAGGCAAAGGTGTGTTAGGTTTGAAATACACATGCTATGTTATACACATGAGTACATAGGTTGGTACACTATGGATTCGGGTAAATATGTCCAATCATACCTATAATATCTACCTATAGGTATTTCTTATTTATTTAAAATTTATTAAAATAAATGAAATGGACGAAATTCCAATGAAAAAGTGTATAATTATTCGTACCATCCCCATACTAAACAATAAACATATTATATAAGATTACAGACTCTTCCGACGTAAATGTATTAGTGTACACTCACTTGGACATGTTTACCCGCGGACACTACGCTTTGCAGTCTGCATACTGCATAGTACATATTGTTTTCAGTTTATAAATAACGACTTAAGGTCCATTCTCACTGCTCCGGGACGGGTCCGGGCCGGAATCCGTCCGGGTACGAAAAAAATTCTATTCAATGCATTTTAAATGTGAACATTCACATTTATCCGGGCCGGGTCCGGAACGGTCGTCCGGGCCGGGTCCGGGCCGAAAAAATATTGTTCCCGACAATTCTCTATCAGGGTTCCCGGACGGGCTTCACCCGGATTGAACGTGTCCTGACCAGTGTGAACGATGAACCGTGCCGGGTTCATATAGTATCTGGGTTGTTTTTTACTCCAGCATCTCTCATATGGATCTGACTATCTATAGAAGGTGTTATTTTCTAATAATTTGATATGGAATTCGTATGAATTCGTTCTAAATTAATGAAATTCGTACTACCTTCTTTCCAAGAAAAAAATAAAAAAGAAAAATGGTGATACTGATGTTAAATACTTTTGTATAAAAATTACATCAGGCACGTACAGGATTATATTAGGAGTGTACAGGAACGTACAGGTCCTTACATGTTTGAAAACGAGCGTGAACGACACACTATGAGCCTTGAGTCAAGAGTGGTGCCCATATGACAGTTATTACCCATTCAACTTTTGTTTCGGTCTCTACTCTTTTATATATTTTGAATTTTTAAAATATGGACTCCGAAAAACTTATTGAAATTGTTCGAAGTCATTCAAGTCTTTATGACTTGAGTGACCCCAAGTATAGTGATGCGACACACAAAGATAAACTTTGGAAAGTCATAAGTGAAGAATTAAATCAACCAGGTAATTATGTATTTTTTTTAATTCATTTTCATTTTTAACTTAAATTAATTTTAAAAATAATAAAATCTATTGTATTATATTATATATATATATCAGTATATTTACTTAAAAACTCGTACCTATAGTTACAATTTATATTTTCGACTTTCGAGTACGAATAAATTTTAAAATAGACAAATCTATAGTATATATGTGTAATATTATGTGGGTATAATTATACAGTATAATTACTGTTTTGCTATTATATAGTTAAATAAAATAAAACCAATAAAAAGTGAAAATACAATGTGTCAACAACTTGTAATAAAAAAACATAAGTTAGCTTTGTTTAGTATTTAAGCTTAAATAAAAGTTAATTTAAAAATTAAAAGTAAGCTAAAAATATTTAAAGTTATACTATATTACAGATTATAATGATTATATAAAATTATTTTGCCATGAAACTAATCCAGCTTCGGAATTAAAAAAATCTTTAAATGTTTCTCTGACCTGAAATGCTTCTTGGCTTGCGTTACCTCCATGCAAAGGGACATTTTGTAATGTAATTGCATCTGTATAATCATTTACACTTCTCGATTTATCAATCCGATTGTATACTTGTTTACCATCATAAATTTTTATAAAATTGTGTAAGACACAAGTAGCCAAAATTATATTGTCCACGTTCTCTGGTTTGGCTTGAATTCTTCTGTTATATATTCGAAACTTTTGCGTTAGAATGCCAAATGTATTTTCGACGACTCTTCGTCCTCTACAATGCCTATAGTTGTATATTCTTCTAGAATTGTCATGTAGTTGTTTGCCTGGATAAGGTCTCATTAGATACTCTTTCAGCGGGAACGCCTCGTCCCCCAAGATTACGTAGGGAACAACATTTGTTGTTCCCGGGAGGGCAACGCTTGGTGGCACGTTCAATTTCTTCTGATCTAACATTTTGCCTAGTTTAGAATGCATCAAAATCCCGCCATCGCTGCTCCTTCCATATGCACCAACATCAACAGCAATAAAGTTATAATGTGCATCGACAAGGGCCATGAGTACTATTGAAAATGTTTTCTTATAATTAAAATATTGCGAACCACTGTTGGGTGGCGCTTGAATAACAACATGCTTCCCATCTAATGAACCTATACAATTTGGAAAGTTCCAACAATTCCAAAACTCGTCGGAAATTTCCTTCCATTTGGCAGATGTGGGTACTGGCATTACCTCTGACATCAGTTTGTCTACTATAATTTTACATGTATCTGTCACTATTTCGTGAACAGTTGAATGTCCCAGTCGATAACTGAATGATATAGTTTTCATAGAATCACCCGTTGATAAAAATCTAAAAAATCAAATCATTTTTATTTAATATCAGTAAATAATAATCAAACCTAAAAAACTCCAATTTAAAATTTAAATAAACAAATAATAAATAATAAATCTATTAATGTATTTTTAAAATTGCATTACGTAGTTAACAATTGAAAATAATATTTAGGTAATGACGAAAATGTCCATGTTATCATAAATAATACTTTTGAATTAAAAGAATTATAATAATTATTTATTTTATGTTTGAATATCAAATTTCATAAAAGTTTAAAGTATGACATATCAATAAATTGTGAATAGGTTATATAAAGGTAATATATTATATTTGAAACTTTTAAAATTTAAATAACAATTTATTTTATTTTATATATTCATTGTTATGTAATGAAAAACCTAAATTTGTTTATGATTATGAAATACAGTATATAATGATATATTTTTTATTATATTTGTGTAGCTAATGCGTGCAAGACTAGGTGGTATAACATCAGGGACCAATACAGGAAAGTTTTAAATAAAAAAAAAACAACGAGTGGTCAAGCTGCAAAAAAACAATTTAAATATAAATACGAGGATCAACTTTCTTTTTTAAAAATAACCTTCCAAGAAAGATCAACTACTACCAATATCGATGGTAGTGATTCGGAAGAATATGATGACACTGCATACTTGGACAATCCTGGATGCTCTACAGATATGAATATTAGTATCGAAACTCCAATTAATAGTAGTACATTTACATCTATGCCAACGCAACAATCAAATTTATCTACAATTTCTAAAGGAGGAGGGAAAAAAAATGACAAAGTAACGGCTTCAGCGGTGATGATGAAATATCTATTAGATAAAAAATCAAAAGCAGAAAATGATACAACACCAAAACATCATGTAGATGCATTTTTAACAGGAATCGCTTCTACAATGAAAGCGTTGGACCCGTATCGTGCTAACATAGCAAAAACAAGGATTTTTTCTATTGTTCAAGAACTAGAAATGGACCAGATAATGAACGATCAACGTCAGGTATACACACCGACACCTCAAATACCAGTAACTCAAAATAAAACAAATATGAACGGAAGTAATGAACAAATTCAATCACAGCACACTGATGAACCGTACTATCAAAATTTATAGGTTAGTTCTACAATATATTATACAATTTAAAATATTTCTTTCTAAATGTTTTCATAATTATTAATAATTTTTTGTAATAATAAAATTTTATAATAATATAATATCGTAAGTTAATTTGTCATTAATTTATAAGTTTCTTCATACTATTTTATAAAGAGTTAATGCAAAATATAATTTTATAATCATAAGTTAATTTGTATTTAAATTGTTATGTTTAAGCTCAAATAATAAATAAATAAAAGGAATAATGTTAAAATACTAATAATTTGATTGTCAAATGATTTAATAAAATATGTTTTAGAATAAATATTTCTTTGAAAACACTTATGTCTAAGTTGTTAGTTAAAATGAACTGTAACATTTCTATTTTATTTAGTACCTAATGTTTGTTGAAAATAAATATATTCTTACCTTAAACATACTGCTAATCGATGCCTAGGTGGAATACATAGCCTAAAGTTGGTGTTTTGTTTTTGAATATCATTTTCAATTTTTTTAAACAATACATTGAAAGAATACATTGACATCCTAAAGTACTCATAGAACTTAATCTCGTCGTGTATTAATTCTTTGTACAAAGTTGCGAATTCACCCTCGGTTTCACGTTTCTTCCAAGCAGCGTGGACCCAAAACTTCCTAGGCTCCCGTGAAACTATTTTCTCTTCCTCTTCTTCATCAAGTAATATTGCTATCATTGCAAGTTCGTCGTCGGAAAAATTCATAGCAATACTAAATTACATTATTTGTAGATTAAAGTCTTCTATATTTTTTTTAATATGTAGTTATAAAATTATACTTACTATTTATATTTGCAGAACTTAAAATATAAACTTTCAGACTTCAGTAATATAAGAATACTTTCTCCAACTCAACAAACAGAACTATAGGTACGCGTGGTTTCGATGCTTAATTACAACTGATGAGTGATAGGCGAAGTACGGCCGATAGATATGGACTTTCGGCTTTCCGGAATCCGGACGGATCCCTGAATAGTGTGAATGCTGACACCCGGGCTACCCGGACGGGTAAAAAATTTACACAGCCCGGCCCGGACCCGTCCCGGAGCAGTGAGAATGGACCTTTATATATTAAATTATATGTAATATTTATGAATAAAGTCCGTTACTTTTATTGGACATCCACTTGTCGTTGGTCAAATAGAAGCACACGAGGTACTGAAAGTCCAGCAGAGCGGGCACCAGGCTAGTGAGTTGATCAGCCAGCCAAAAGTCAGCGAAACCCACATAGAAGAAGGGAGCGAACAGTATGCGTACCTGTGACATAATAAAACACGAAGTTGTTTTCAAAACCTATGCACCGTCAAGTAGCGATTTAGGGGGTACAATGTGGTATTTGGGGACGTGTTGCGATTGTTTGTAAGAAGTGCGAGTAGTTACCAACTCGATGAGTTCAAGTGGATTACGATTCTATTTGTACTTTAACTCATCGATAATGGCTAGAAAAATGTAGGTATGATGTGATGATATTATAATTACATTTCCCACTATCAACATTTAGGAAATTGCCCATAGGATGATTACCGAGAGTTATTAGATAAAATGAACAATCATTTTTCTAGGTGGAATGAAACAAGTTTTGATTATTTTATTTTAAAAATATAACGATTTCATAAAAATGTCTGAGCTACTGTAAGATATAATCAGTAGGCAATAAATTGGGTGGAGACTCATTTGCGCACATATTAATATATTTTTTAAATTTACGACAACTCATTTGCGCACAAAATAGTAAACAATGGAAACCAGCTTTTAGGTACAGTTTTGGCTGTACAGGGTGTCTGAAGCTGTCCAACACGTTACACGTTCAATATTATTGATATCAATGATCACCCGTTATTGGAGTATCTTCAATATAGCCTTATATATAGTCTTAAAGCATAACGTGATTTCACATCAGTTCTTATCTATCAAAAATGGCATTAATACTCGCCAAGTACACTAGTCGTGTGGGACAACCTTTAATCTTTATTATTGATATTATTGCTATATCTTACCCTATTTTTGTTAAACGTTAAACCTAATTTATTGTAATTTGACAAAATTTTAATGACTTGTAAAAATTATTGTACCTAATTTATTGTAATTTGACAAAAATTTGAATAATGTGTAATAGCTAAAACAACATTTTTAACCAGCCAGTCTATAACATCAGAATATGATGAGACAGAAAGTCCTAAGCCTTTTAAAGGGTGAAGGAAAATGTTGTTTGAGTATAATAATTGTCCACTATCAGTATTGACCAAATCGAAAATATGGTGGTACGGAGATTATGTACACCCTATACGTGGATAAAATTTTTGGAAAAAAGGTTTCTATTGTTCGTAAATTGTGCGCAAATGAGTTATGTTTTTGTGCGCAAATGAGTTGCAGCCATAAATTGGTCTGAATTTGTTTCTGCACCCTTTTTTTTTAGCAAAACAAACCATTATTTTTGAAAAGGGGAGCGATTTGGAAAAAAAAAACCACAAACAAAAAAGGACCCCTTCCCTTACAGTACAACATTACAAAGTCGCTTACCGCCACGCGCAGCACCCAGAACCGGGCGTCGTGCCGTAGCGTCTTGGTGGGATTAAACAGAAACGCAATCATGAGCACGGCCAGGATCAGCGGGTTTATGTACGGCGGTATGTGCAGTGCCTCGCTGTACAAGAAAATCAACGCCGAGCCGGCCCACACCAGACCGAAGACGGTGGCCAACTCCATGATGTGCTGCTCGGTGAGATGGTTCCTGGGGTCCAGCTCGAAGATGAGCACGTGGTTGACACCGGACGAACGCCAACAGTAGACGTTGATGCCCATCAGAAATAGGAATATGACCAACAGCAGCGGGCCCCGGTACAGTCTGACCATAACCCGCCAGTCCGTGTTCTCGTTGCTGTGAGCAATGCCTACGATAAAAGGAAAAAATATAAAATAGAGACTGGAATTATTGATTTCCGGCTTTCCAGATCGGAAGACACTGCAACCGCTAAGTTGGACTTATACACTCGACGGGTACAGACTACAGGTATAGGAAATTAATTTGCTCTAGCTGATGGATTTGGGTTATGTATGTCACTAGTATGTGTACAATTTATTTATAGTTGTGAAAAATGGTCGTATACTCGTATTATATGAATGAATAATATTGGGTACTGTCAACAAGCTTATTTTGTCTCATCTTCAGATTTCCTATTGAGATGGTTTCACCAAATCGACTCATAATTATTATTATCAGCAGTTTAACACGAATAAATAAGAATATATATATATAGGTATATTAATAAAAGTCAATTCTTGAGTGCATGTGTGTGTGTGATCCACAGCCAACGCCAAGTCAATCGCACTCGTGCAAACATGGTCCCGAAATATGGTACATAGGTAATCCTATACCCGAGCAAGTGCACCTCGAAGCCGATTGTTTAAAGAAAGGCTCACACAGGGATTTGTTGGCTTACGAAAAACGAATATTTGTTTGTTTGAATAAAGACGCCACATTGGTTACAGAATTTAAAATAATTAATATAATATTGGATCTATCATTTTAGACCAGTATTTTAAATTAGGTCAAAACTACCCGAGTAAGAGTTAAAAATATGTGTAATTTACATTTGATTTAATATAACCCTTTGGCGTTATTATTGATTTGTCACGAGCAACGCCGTGCAGGATCAGCTAGTAAATATATATATATATATATATAAATGCGGTACCTACTTGTGATGTTATTCATTTTCACAGTGTTTTATTTATATAAACTTGCGGGCAGGTGCAATAGTTTTTTTAAATTTACTCACCAGTGATGATGACCGCCAGCAGCATAACGACAAAAGCGCCGGAAAACAGGCCGACCTTGAACGTGATCCAAGGTGATTGCTGTTCGCCGAGTGGCGGTACTCGCAGTCTCTTCATGGCCCTCTGGCGGTCTCCTCCTTCCAGACCCTGCGTGACGGTGGCCTCGGTCTCGCTTATCAGCCGGTCGATGTCTTTGTTGCAGTAGAAATGGGCATTTTCTACAACTTCCGATCTCCAGCGACCACCGGAGCCGCCCTCCGAGCCCAGTAACTTAAACGAACGTCGCACACATATAATACAGGTAAACGTTAAGAGATTGAAATGGTCTCATGGTTATGACGTAAGGAATTAAAATATAATACGTTTCAAATCGGTTGTATATAATATAAGTAATAATTATGTAGTACGATTGGTTAATAATAGGAATTCGGACTATTTTTCTTTAGACATAAGTGTATATTGCGAATGTCTATAGGTAAAATATACAAGCGCAGTAGGTATGCGATAATAATGATACAAATGTATACTTGAACTAATCGTGTTTATTATTTAGCACTTTTTTTTATTTTATACCGTGAGGAAAATTACATTTTCTTTACACCCGTCTAAGTATGTATACGCATAATAAATTAATGTGATTTTTTCGATATAAGCAACGCGTATTGCAACTGCATAGCAGCCATTTTAACAGCGTGCTCCGCGAAGTTTAAAAAATGTAATGATACCAAAGAGCAGTTCGCATTGATATGTGCGAGTTTAATAGGCCAACAATAGGTTACCTAGCCCGGTAATCTATGTACTTAAGAATAACAAGGTTTGTCGACATATAATAATTAAATAATATTATAATAGTTATAACGACGTCATATAATATTTTTAAAGGTATATTTATTTGAAAAAAAAGTTACTGGAGCCCGTAGAAACATCAGGTATAATACGCCTCGGTTATTTGTTGTACCATTATAATTAGGTATAGGTAATAGGTACTAGTATTATTATACTAACCTATTCAACCCATTAGATTGAAATAAAAATATTATTTTCCAAAAGTCTAAGGGAAAATAAAAATATTATCAAACATTATACATTTAAAATTTTTTTTTTTTATATAATATTACACAAACCACATAATATAATCACATAATATAATAATAACACAGTGAATATCGTAGCGGGTCACTGTAATGATATGCATTAAACCGAAGATAGTTATTTAGTCGGTAGGTACCTACCCATACGATTTATGCGAACACAGACCGTTTTATTTGATGGCAATAATATTGAACAAATAGCTGGTTCGAATAATAACAGTGTATAAGGCAAGAACAGTTCATAAGTGTATATAAGTGTTAATAATGTTTAATAATGAATTTTTAAAAACGAAAACATTTATTTTAAAGACGCGAAAAAAAATTAAACGGTATATTATAATATATTAACCGTCGTGTGCACACTCCACGCTGGTCGTAAGACGTAGAAACTGATTCAACCAGAATTATATTTACAACGAGGGCAAAACGCTCAGGGCGATCGAAATTGATTGATATTGGTATAAATTGGTAACCCAAGTGGCAGGTACTAAGTAGTATAATATAATCCATAATATAAGCATAACGGCGATTGATATGAGTACAGACTAGGTATAGGTGCACAATAAAAATTAATACGTAGCTTTTCCCGTACCTTGTCGTGTTTTTTCATAATCTTTCGAAAACCGGTGTAGTTTAAATTTTGGTAGTTCTGCAGTAGAATCAAACTCAGATAGAATTCACTGAAAGCCAACTTAAGTTCTTGGGTCTTACGAGTTGTGGTGTTTTTTCGGAGAATTTTCCGTTTTACCGGCTTTAGATTACCACTGGCGTCTTTAGGTTTGATTTTGTCATCTTGAGCCTCTCTCAGGTCACTCTGGAGGTTGGCAAATTTTCTGGTCGCTTCCGCCAATTTTTCTACAACATAGCGAATACAATACTATATTGTACAGTAGACAATAGGCGTAGTAGGTACAATACATGCACGTATTCAGTATCAACTTTCGGGTGGGTTGGGAGGAATTAAAATAAATGTGATCAGTGGCTTATTTAGGAGGGTTTAGAGGTTCAACCCCCTTCCCGAAATTAAATTCTTTATACACCACTGAGTTTGATATAATTAGTGTTATACATTATTAATATTTAATTACAAATATATTTTACTTATAATATAGGTAATAGATATACTTTCATTAAAAAATATATATATAATATATTAAATAATTTTCAAACATTAACAGTAAAATAATTTTGTTGTATATCTTGATTTGAAACAACATATTTTGTTAGTGGTTCTTTTAAAAGAGTAGGAGGTACTTACCTGCATGGCTACATTCATTAACTATTGTTTGATAATTATTTGTACCAATTATTTGATCATATGTTTCTTAATACCTACCTACTTGATTTTAATTGTTTTAATGATATAAGTAAATTATATTTGCAATTGAATATCAATAATGTGGTAGGTAACTACACAATTTTTCAATCATTTTCATGTGGTTGTGAGCATTATTGTAGTCTGGGGATTTTTTTCCCGTGGATTTTTATTCCGATTACTGCAGACAGTATAAATATTAATATATTATTTATATTAGTATAAGTATTAATATTATTATTATTGTGAAAAACGAAACTTAAGTTTGATTGAGTAAATAAATGTTTGTTTTGTATGATTTTGTTATACGTTTAGGTAAATATATAAAATAATATACATTATACCATATCACCGTGATGTATATACTGATTGTAATTAAATCCAGTTCGGACGAGTATAGGAAATTTTAAAGGCAAAAAAGTGTGCAAGTACCTATGGCTTTAGATTCTGAGCAGAGTGATGAATACACTGCCGTATTGGTAGGAGATGGTATTTTGCACCAATGTAATTACTTGTAATTTGCGCCACTAATAGGTACGTTTAAGCGAGTATGTAATTTGAGCCAAAATATAAAAATTAAACATGTACTTTGCGCCACATCTAAAAATTCATTTTGGTAATTTGCGCCACGACGGAAAACGAAAGTAGAGAAGATATCGATTACGCCTAATCTAATAAAAATTATCAACTGTCAAAATATCGAACAATGTTGAACAGCAGTAAACCCAAGACTGGGCATAAACGAGTTAAAAATTGTAAATTAAGTTAAAAGTTGAGTTATTTTAACTTTTAAACTTAACTTTTTTAAATGTAATCACAAATGTACAATTATTAAGAACATAATATTATCAAATATCTTCGTCATAAATTATAGTTATTTTTTAATTAAAATCAATTAGGTTATGCTAATATATTGGCCATTTCCTGTGTTCAATAATATTTATGATTTTTATTATTTTAAACCATATTATTGGGTATTTATAAAGATATTAAAAATAATAATAATAATAAAAACTTGGCTTTTTAGTTAATTGAAAATGTCCATATAACTTTTAACTTAATTAACTTTAAACTTTTTAAATAGTTTTCTATCAACTTAACTTAACTCAGTTAAAAGTTATCATTAACTTGCCCTTGATATTTACAGTAGACCGATATAAATCGCAAAAATATTAAAATTATATTTATTTAATATACATAGAGTACCTACGTATACCTAAATACATTAATTTATAATTATTATTATATTACTGATTTTCTATTAAAATGAACTTGATAATTAAGTTATTTTAGAGTTGCGAAAATTACAATTTTAACAAGGTGAACAATGGCACAAATTACAATTTTTATAGGTAAACGATGGCGTAGATTACTTAATGCCCTTTTATTAAGTTTTGTGTAGCGCAAACTATACAACCTTAAAAAGTGGAGCAAATTACATAAATATTTTTTTGGAGGGGCTGTTTTGGAGCAAATTACATACGCCAGTATTGGTTTTACGACGATAAAGACACTTTTTATTGTAGAAAATATGCTCCTATCTTCAACTAGGTACGAAAATATCTCTGGTAGAAAACTGATTACAATAGTATAGGTACTGCTGATATACTTGAAATTTCCAACAAATTTTTAAGCATGAATTTCTATACCTACATGATAAAATATTTTAAATATTTCGGATCTTCTTAAACTATTTATAGAAATTTACAATTTTTACTTTTCAATTTTTGTATGCTAATATTTATGTTTTAGAGTTAATAAGCTTTAACATTTTAAACAAGATTCCTTATAGCTTTTGTAACGGGAAATTAACCCCAAAAAAATAAATGCTTAGCGTAAAGCTAACATATATTTTTAATGATCAATTGAAGTTTTTGATGACATTGGATATTCACACACCTACTTAAAAATCTAATGATTTTTTTTTATATTTTTGTAGTTTTAAAACTTTTAATCGTATAGACTTGAAAGTTAAAACACAAACCATTTTTATTTAAATTACTATTTTGTATACTCAATGCAATTTTAAAATATGTAATATAGGTTTAAGCTACCACTAAGCATTTGAAATATTATCGAATTTTTTGAAAATGTTTTTTGTTATCGGTAAATAAAAAAATTTAAGCTCAGCCAAAAAGCTTAAAAATTAAAATCAAAAAAATATTAGAAATACAATAATATTTTTATTATAAGCATTTGGATTTTTAATTTTGACGAAGTTTGTAAAAACCACAAAAATGCATAAATAAATAGTGTGTGTGACATTAACAATTAATAGTTAAAAATTCGTTACATTTTTAATTTGTATAGTTATGTACTTATGTATAAGGTTTGAAAATGAAATATAAAGTTTCTCATAAGTTTCCATAACAAGAATTTTAGCCTAATTTTTTATGAGAGTTTTAAATATTGACAAAATAGGTAAAAATCGAGAATTGTTTTGTTGACATTCTGGCTGACAAAAACCATGTCTACTTAGAGGCGTTTTTTTCATCTTATACAATAATTTATTAGGTACCTACTGAATTAAGAGTTAATTATTACAGTGCCCTACTCACTGTACTCTCGTCAACTACGATGGATACAGCCGAGCGATTTTCCGGTTTCTTACGTATTATAAGCACTGCAGTTGTCTCTGTTTAATGATATTATTAATATTCAGGTAACATTGTTAAGGGAATACAAGTCTAATTTACAAAACAGGATCGTTTAGACCAATGTTTTTGTTCATTATCAAAATTGTAGAGTAAGTACGGTTATAAATAAATAAAGTAAAACATTAGCATAAATCTGACAAGATTAATTAGGTAGTTTAAATTAAAAGCTGACATTTATTAAATAAATAACTCTTAAATTATTTTAATGTCCTAACAGCCGGTACCTTTTACTAAGTATTTTTGCCAGAAAATCTGTTATTGTGTATGTATCTGTAATCTGTATTCTGTATAATGTATAAATGTGTACAAAATATAATTAGTAATCACTAATCAGTAATAGCTCAGTATATCCTCTAAGTTCAGCCAAGTTCTGAATTTGTGATTTTGAATTTTGAACATGATCCATAAAATAGAATGTAGGTATGTTTGTGGGAAATTTCGATTGCACTCCCCCCCCCCCCCAGACAAGCTTAAATAAAAAGTTTAGAGCCTATATTAAATATTCAAAAATTATTTATTGGTTATAACTTATAACTAATAATCACACATTATGTAGCTCAATTCTAAACACAAGTCTGAGGAATGAAAATAATTTGTTTTGTACAAATTAATATTATTGTGGTTCTACGCATAGTCTGTTGTTGTTTTATATATTATGATATATATAACGATGCATTACCTACATCTGCACGCCTCGTACGAATAAACTGAATCAAAATAGATTTTTGTGGCCGTCGCCCGTCGCTCTTAATTCATTGATGAAAAAAATCACTGGAAAATCTTGGCGAGAAGGCATGTCCCTTGGATAACCATCATAGTACCTACCTATATATTAATAATACTATGTAAGTGCCGTGAAACTTATTGGCAGCGGTTTGCACATATTATGTTATTATAACATAACACATTTTAGTCGTTATATTTATTATGGTATTTTCATCGATAATATACAGTAGTGGATCGTTTTAGTTAAAATATTATTACCAATATATATTTATATTATACTTGAGCGCGGCCGACTGGCTGAGCAAGTGTGTTTGCCAATAATTGGACTCAAGAAAGAAACAACTTTAAATTATATCATGCCAGTGGCACGGCAACATCTGGCATTAAAATCATTCTTTGTGAATAATTATATCTATATACACCTACATATTAAACTATAAAGGGTAATTTTAGATATTGAAATGGTATTTAAGTATTTAACTTATTATTATTTTCTATAGGTATTTTATTGTATTGTATAATAATACAGGTACCTCCTATTCCTATAGGTATATTTTTTTAGTAAAATTAATTTGTACGGTGATACGGAAAATCGCTTATACTTATATTACAAATATTTATAATTAATATAGATTCTAAATTTACCTACATGTAGATGCTAGATCTACAACTATAAGTAAAAATATAAAAAATCGAACTCAAACAATTTAATTTAAATTTTTGAACGATTCGTATAAAACACAACACTTTATCACACTATATCTATTTATTTGTTCTTAATTTTAAATATCGAAAGTTGATACAAAGTAGGTACCTATGACCCGACCCATACCTACACGATGTTTTATTTTTATTCGATTGTTTTATAAATAAGTCCTCTGTGTGTACCTACTTCTTATTTGGTCGCACAAATGCACAATTAATATAGGTACTATTTAAAAATAATAATTAGGTATTAAAATTGAAACCGGCTTGTTTTATTACCTAACTAAACAATAATTAATAATAATTGTGCAGATAAAACTATTTATTTCATACTAAATAAAATAAAGATATAACTATAACTGTATAATACTATAATATTTACTAAAATAAATGTTTAAATTATGTTATTCACGTTAAAGCTTTTGCAAAATAATATTACCGTGTCTTGTAATCTAATAGTTTAAGCGGTGGTATATCGTACCTATATCCAATATGATAATTATTAATTATATTATAATTTTTAAATATTACAAATATTTGTAGCAAACACACTTTGTTTAAATTTACGATAGATCTACATGATTAAAATATTATGTACCTACTTACGTATATAAGTTATAAGTTCCTAAGTATCTTATCATAGCCGGAAATCGGGGAGGCGGGACCCCACCCCCTAAATACCCCATTAACCTCCCCCCCCCAAAAAAAAATATACAGTGTTTTAGTTTTGTGGGATCGAAGCCCGCTAACATTCATGTTAGAAATTATACTACCCCTGGTGAAATTGTAATAAATTATATTTTTTAAATACTTCATCCTACCAATTTTCTTAATTACATTCAAATCAATAATAATGCAAATGAACCTATCACAATATACTTTTACGTCCCTTATGAATTATCGGGTTTTTTATTTCCCAATTCAAGTACCTACCATATGTCTATAGGTACCTAAGAATAATATGTAAATCATAATTACGCGCATTTATTTGTAAACGTATTATCTAACAATGTAACATATAAGTTATTAGTTATTATACGTACTATTAAAAAAAAATTATATATATGCTTTAATATACAATAATCATACAATTAAATTTGATGGAAAAAGAACTGATAAAGTTTAATTCACGTTTGACAAAGACAATTTCTATGATACACTGAATTTTCATCATCCGTTATTGAACAATAATATATTCCACTATAATCATCAATAATAATGCATTGACGCGTACGTTGGTATTTAATTTATATCAATTAAATTGTACAAAAATATAATATAATATAGGTATATTATCATAACTCATAAAGTCATAATATGTACTTAATATACCTACTCTAAAAGTTTCATATACCCGAATAATATTTTTAAATTAAAACAAAATAACTAAAATCGTTATTCTTGGATGTAATTTCGTTCAAATTTGAATTTAAAATGTCTGTAAAAAAGAACTGTGTTTGTATATTTTTTAGATTGTTTTGTTAGAGTATGAACTATTTATGAGAATCTTTGATTTAAATTTTCAATCCATTATAGCTATACAAATAGAACATTTAATAATTTTTTAATTAGAATAATTGATAATTTTCAAGATTTTGATAAAAAAATCGTGCGTATGCGTCTTTACTATTTATCAACTGCTAGTATAACAACTTTGTTACATTTTCAAGTTTTTTAAGGCAACGAATACAATTTTATTGACATTTATAGAATAAAAAACAAACTAAAATAATATAAAATAACTCTAAACTAGTCGAAATATTTTGAAAATTTTACCAGGTATAGAAAATTATAAAATAAACACTTGACGAAAATGTCAAGTACCAACTATTATTAGTTTTTGAATAACGATCAAATAAAAAAATCGTTGTATGAGAATTTGTTAATTTCCGGGTGAATATCCAATTTACACCTTCAAAAGCTCGTAAAAAATTAATCTGAATTTCCAGTAAACTTTTTTTTTTTTTTAATGTTGGAAAATTTAATTGGAATCTTAAATCAAATTTTCTAAGCGTAGAAATAAATAAAACATTTTTTATGAATGTCTTACTTGAAATAATTTGCCAATTATCGTGATTTTGATGAACTTAGTCAAAATATTAACTTCATAGCTCATAAAAAATTATTGGGGATATACACTCAACTTTTATTTTTTAATTTCTACTAACATCAACTCATAAAATACGTTCCATTACATTTTAAAGTTTTTTGATCAACCAAAAAACTGTGTATCGGCAATAATTAAAAAAAAATAATAAAACTAGAAATTGTCTCATGCCTATGTAAGCTCAAAAAGTCACAATATTTCGAAAATGTTATGTTGCATAGAATTCGCTAATATTAACCTTCAGTGAAAATTTCATCTATATTCTGTTATTTTTTCTAGTGTTTCAATAAAAAACCAAAATAATTTTTTCAAAAACTGGTTTTTCGTTAAAATCTCAGTTTTTCCTTAATTTTTCGTTTGTTTTTCTTAACGCTTTTGTAAGCTATTGGTATTTTTTCAAGGATGCTGTTGAAGAAGATTAAAGCATTTTCCTGTTCCAATAGGTGATGCCACAATAAGAAAACACACATCATTTAAAAATCAACACATTCATTGATCCGTTCAGAATCTAAAATTTGATAATTTATACATTCATTTATCATAATATAATATTATGTAGATTATAGATATATTGTATAGTTAGGTCGTTAAGTGCCTCAAACGTAGTAGAATAACATTTTTTTAATATATTATATTTAGTCTGATCTAATAATAAATTATCATAACGGTACTGTCGGTACTATTATATTCTGTGGTACTAACACACTGAAATTAGTACCTACCTACCTTCCTATTTATATATTTCAACATAAATCCTTCTACATTCTATTAGAATGTTTCATATGAAATAGCTATGAGTTAACTACAACTAATATAAATACAGCTGGATGATAATAATTACTTTAAATAAGTGGGTAGGTACATCGTACATCTTATAATTATTATTAAAACTTTAATTTTAAAATTAGTTTGAGGTCAATCAATTCCAGTCAAGGTGAAAAACCAAAAAGATGGAAAATGTACCAATATTATTTTTAAAAAACGACTAAATTACATTTTGTAAGTGTAAATGTAATTTGAGCTTTTGGTGTTCAATTTGTTGTCCTTGTTAATAAAAATGCAATTGTACGTAACTTGTAAACATTGAATCTCAGGCCTCAGCTTTGGTTGCATCACATGTGCATTAATTAATACATAAATAGAATAGTTGTGCGTTTGAATACTAGGTATGTATACGTACTTTGTTTTTTATAAATAATCAGCATACAATCTTAACATTAAAACGCCGTGCATAATATTATACTATAAAAAATCAGGAACATTTAACAACCAATTACATGTATCATACTAAGCAATAAGTATATATTATAACATTGTACGTTGTAACAATTAGATAGTTGATACGATGTCAACCATTATATTATTTTTATCTCTCAATCTTTAACACCATTAAAACAATGACAATAGACTTTGAAAAATGTAAACACAACCTGTTACAAAAATTATTAAGAATGTGATAATCTAGTGCAACTTTCAATGCTTGAATTATTTTAAAAATTATTAATTTATTGTGAATTATTGAATAAAAGTCTAAAACTATTAAAAATAAAAATTAACTTACTGTCAAAAAATATAATTTTATATTTTTTGTACCTTCTCTTTAGTACATTTTATCATATTATGTTATGTTATGTTTATCAAATTTTAATAGTTCAACCACAAAATGAGAAATTTTAAGTACCGTTCTGCTGTATTTACTATTTAGTATAAGTTAGACTATTTTTTTTATTTTTTTTTTTTATTTATTTAAGTAATTTACAATCTATACAACATTATGTACAATGGGCAAATTTGATAGTTAATAATGTGAAATAACAGAGTTTAACATTTAAGGGCAGGCACTCAGCAGCACCACCCGACATGTTAGACTATTAAACAATTTTTAATATTTCTTAAATTTTAAGTCGGCTATTAGGTCTTTTGAAAGTTTTTGAAACTAATCATGTAGGACTTTATTTTATATTAAAATTGTTGTATCAATTAGATAGTTTTACTATTTTTACAATAATTTATGAATATAATACTAAACGTAATTTTTTTTCTATCTTATTCTTTTGTTAAATTTTAAATAAACTATCAATACATAATATGAATTATATGGTATTAATGTATTTATTAAAGGTTAATAAAAATATTAAATACAATTTTAAAATTGTTATTGTCTCTTGTGATATTATTATCTCAAACATTGATTAGCATTTACGTTGTAAAACTGTAATTTAAGTTTTTGATCTTGGGTTTTTATGTACAGTTGGTTATTTTATTTTATTTCAGGGTTTAATTAAATATTGGATTAATTTAGGTGCAAATCCCAGATTCGTGGTAAGAGTAAATTACAATGATGGATGAAAAATTGTAATGTGTATGCTTTGTGTATGTTGTAGTTAAACATTAAATCAATTTTTACATTGCATTAGTAATCTTAAAATTGTAACTAAATAAAAAATATAAAATAATGAATACAAACTTATATTAAAACTCAATAAATATACTATATTTTTGTATCAGACTTGTTGTGGATAAAAAATTTATAATTTCATTAAACTAAAATAAATTCATGAATAACTATTAAAAATAACAAGCGAATAATTATATTTTATTTATATATAAAAAAAACATAAAATCTATAAACTTTTAATATTTACTTTTAGGAACTTAATAAATTCAATATAACATACTTTCAAATTACAAATAGGAACTATGAATAGGTATATTTTTATACTATAGCAACTGTTATAATTATATCCAAAATACTGAAATATACTTATAATATGTCAGTTAATGGTATAAGTTATTCAAATTTAATGATACCCATGTGGCATATGCTATATATCTAATTGATTAGTCAAGTTATAACTTAATAATGAATAGGTATTGTTTATTTTATATAAAAAAAAACAATCCAGCTCAATTATGTACTAGAGACAATATAGAATTTGTACCCTAAAATATAAAAAAATAAACTGTAACTTGTGCTCAGTGAATCCGGTACCAACTACCGTCTACCAGTACACAATGTTAGGTTAAAAGTGCGTCCATATAATATGAATGCACTTGTGGTACTTTATAAGAGCACAAAACTATATTGTGTAGTTGGAAGAGTGTTCTATGGACTGTAAACTGGGTACACCCTCACATACTATTCTAATATTCATGCAACCGTAACATGCACAAGTGATACAATTCTACGAATTGATGAGATAGCAGCAGCCTTCAAGTGATGAGACTCGGGTGAACTTTAATATGGGGGTGAACGCACACAGAAGTAGGTGTCAAACAAAATCATAAATGCTGTTCGAAACCTGAATAGAACGTGTTGATTTTAGCGAGTTCTTTGTCGCAAAAACTGAAAAACTTTTCGTCGAATTTGGCATAATATCGTGACAGCGAATCGGGGTCCACTTGTTCGGGCGCTGGCACCTGTTCGATGGCAGCGTACAACATTTCCTTCATCTCCTGTAAAACGCAACAGATTAGATAGGTACACATAAACAACCTCCAAAACATTATTTTAAAAATGAATACCGTTGTGCATCATAATATAAATTATTATATTCTCGTATAATATTTTGACCTACTTCATAACTGATGTATTGTTTTCTCCACTCGGGAGTGATGTGCGCGGCCAAATGCTCAGCGAATTTCATCTTTTTCGCTTTTCCTCTTGCGATCCGACGGTCCTACTAGAATCGCGTACCCGTGGATCAGTACGCGAGAAATTATATTATATTATTATGTTTCCTGAGCGATTGCAAAGCCAATTGAATTGCCCGCCGTTTGCGACTCGTTAACTCCAATCGATACGAGTTGTCGTGAATGGGAATGTTGATAAAATGATAAATGATCGGAAATCAAAATCAAGGGAAAAACCAAATCCGTGGAGGAGAAACGCCGAGAAGAGGCTGATAAGACGTCATTACACGGTTGCCATCGCCGGCTGATAAGGCGTATGGCGCAGGGGACATCAATTTTGAATGTTCAAATTTTTGAACTCCACTACTCCAGTACTCCATACTCCATAGTCCATGACTAAATAAATTGATTTAGTCATGCCACAGTCCGCAGTCCCACAGTTGTACACGATGTCCAGTTGCTGCGTAGCTTTTTTTAAGAGATCTGTAAGTACCTACGACTTACTAATAATATTTAAAATATGTTGTTGTCTGTTGACCTACCCTTTAATAATGATCCGGTAACAATTTTAAGTAGATTGTTTTTTTTAATTTTTATTTAATTTTCGTCTCCAGTACTCGACCAAAACGAAATTGACTACCATCTTCAACGAAGATGTGCGTCAGATGGTATCGCGTGAAGAAATCAAACCCAGGAAACATCCTGGAAGGTGTAACCTCAACGCTAAACCTTTTCCAGAAGACTTGACCAATGCCGTCCTAAAAACTATCAAAGGTCAGAACTCAGAACAATTAATGAACATAATAATATTATCATTTACTCATTATTTTTTTTTTAACATATAATTTAGAATACTATTGCAAATGCTATATTTTTTGCAGGTGTGCAGTTGAAAAACGTAATGAGTGATAGCCAGCTATTGTTAAACTATCTACACAGTAGACACAGTCCTGTTGAACAAAGTGAAATAATGGAAAAAAAGCAACAGAACAGAGTTGAATTAGAAAAAAAATGTATGTACATATTGAGTAAATGGGAATAATGTCTATAACCTCAGTGTTATAAAATATTTGTGTAAAAGTGATATTTAACAATAATTACATCTTATTAATACATTAGCTGTTTAGGTAGGTATATTATTTTACTTTCTATACAAATTTCCAATATTTGTATAGTAAGTTTTTAGTTCCACAATCCTAGGCAATGACATAAAACATAATTAGTGAATTCTACTTCTTAACTGAATTAGTTTAATTTATTCATCAGAATTTTGGGTAGTTTAAAAATAAACCATATTGGAAGTAACATAAAATTGGCCTGTTATCCGATGACTAGTATTAATTATTGTTATTAGTTAAACATTTTTAAACAAAATTTATTTTGAATACTTTGAAAATCACTGTTTACAACACTGAGTTTAAAGATTAGAAGCCTATATTTATGATGTATATTAGTTATATCTATTATATTAATGTACATTTATACAATTGAGTTGATTGAGTGCCAAAAATATTTATTTTCTATGTAATAATAAAGACCAAATATGAGGTTTCAGATTACAGTGAAAACATGGACGAAGAGCGACAAATCAAATTTGAAAAATTCATCAATAACCGTGTAGAAAGGCTTGTTGCTCAAAGGACATATAATTGGAAACCAATTGATTACAGCAACAAACATGTATGCCATCAATACCTGCTGTCTCGTATTGCTCCAGAGTATAATGTCATAAAAACAATATTTAGTGAATTACAACAGAGAGATCCAAATTTTGCTCCTCAGTCCCTGTTTGATTTTGGCTCTGGTATTGGTACAGTTACCTTGTATGTTTCCTTTACCTTTTCAATAAGGAAGACGTTAGCGTAACATATTTTATTGTCTCTATCTATCATGCACTACTTACAATAAAACCGATTTAAATTTTAAACAATACTCATTTACTAGCCAACCAGCATAAATTAGGTAAGCATGATATTAAGTTAAAAAATTTACTTCAAATGTGTTAATGCAGTGCCTTACATATTGTTTTTACAATATTTGTTGGAACAACTTCAGTTGGATATAGCTGAAATGTTGAAAGAGAAAACATGTTGGGCACTAGTTCAAAACTTTCTTAGTAAATATTGTAATAAGCCATGATATTGCTCCTTTTAGTAGAAATGCAAAGAGCGGTTTTTTACTAATGAACATGTGAAGAATAAAGATAGCTAATGTTACGTTAACATGATTTTAAAGTTTTAATTCTTTAGACTTAATTGTATTTTTCTGGTTCTTTAAAAAATTTTTAGAAATGCAAAAAATATCTGGGAGAACTCATTAAAAGAATATTATTGTGTCGATACTTCGTCTACTATGAATGATCTAGCAAAACTTCTTTTGCAAGAGGGAAATCCAAATAATGAGAAAATATTGCCTAAGGGTCTGTTTTACAGACAATTTTTACCAGCATCACCAAACGTATGGTCAATGTTATATATTAATGTTGCACGTGTCAACAATATAAACTATTTACTAATAACAATTATTTGTGTAATATTATTCTTAGTTGAAGTTTGATCTTGTCGTATCTGCATACACTTTGTTTGAACTGCCAGACATCAAAAATCGGTTTGAGACACTTTTAAATTTATGGAACAAGACAAAAAAATATATTGTACTCGTTGAAATGGGAACGAGAGCTGGGTTCAACTTGATAAACGAAGCCAGGGATCTTCTCTTAGAAATATCTTCACAAAACAATACCAAAAGTCATGTTTTTTCACCGGTAACATTTTAACATTTTAATAATAGTTTAACTTATAATTTATAACTTCTAACAAAAATTAGTGATTTTATTTTCTATAGTGCCCTCATGAACACTCATGTCCACGTTATGATACTGATGACACACCTTGCAATTTTGAAGTGTCTTACTATACACCAAGAATAGCTCAACAATCTGTAATCAAACGAGAACATTTTTCCTATGTGATCATAAAAAAAGGCTAGTAAATATTTCTCAACCTAGTTTGGTAATTACATTTTTAACAGACACTTTTTAATCATTATAGGAGAGAGACCAAAAACAGATGAACAGTGGCCACGCATAGTGAGACCGGTTTTGGTACGTTCAAAGCATTCTATTTGTCGAATGTGCACGAGTAGTGGCAAACTGCAAGAAATTATATTTACTGCTTCCAAAAACGGAAAGTATGTAATTCAAATTCTATAACAGTAGATTATTATATATTAATTCAAAACATTGGCAATGTCAGTTAATCACCATTCACCACTAAGTGTGACACTACTTGAAATGAGCTTTTAGTTCTAGCATAGTGGAATAAAAGACATATTGTAGAACATCAGGTTTTAGAGTAATTACATAGTTAAATATTGACTTTTAAATGTGAAATTTTTAAGAACAAGTCTTATTTGATGTTCATAATTTTAAATGAACTTAACCCTTTTATAATAGTGGAGACTAAAGGTAAGATTATTTTCTAGACAATTACATAGGCTTTTTATTATATTTTAATTTTAAAGCGAGTTATGTGTATTTTAAAATTGTAAACTATTTGCACATTTTAAAATACTCATAAGTCGCTTTAAAATTGAAATATAATAAAAAAAAGTCTATGCCATTGTTTAGATAATAATCTTAGCTTTAAATTGTATGAGAGGTCAATTCGCTCTAATTTTTAAACTAACAGAGATAAACGTCTTCTGCTGAGTATAAAATGTTCTATGTTACTTACTTGTAAGACGGAGACAACAAATGTCACTGTAACGTCCACTTAATCAGTACCATAATACTCACCTGGAGCCCACAGCTCGAATAATATAGCCTTCCAAGCTATTTTGTGGCCCCTATATGATGAAATCTTATAAATGCTTTACTTAAAATTTACATGGTGTTAGTACCGATTTTATTATAATCAATGGTTTTAGTAAAAATGTTTGTTGACAAATTTTATATACAGGGCATACATAGGAATAATGTCTAAAAAGCACTGAAAAGGATCATAATATGCCATATGATAAGCAGTAAAAATTACAAATCATGAAAATATACAACAATTAAATTATATGTTTAAAAATTATTAATTCATACTACTATTTTTTTAAGGAAATTGCTTAATAAGATTTACGAACAAGAAAGATATAATTGATATAACATTTACTGAAAAACGATAGGTTCATATAGTAACAAATTTATAATAAGAATTTTCAACCTGACGAAATATTATTTTACAACTTAATTAGGTTTGAAAACAGTAAAATAATATTATACTGTATTAAATATTATACTATATTATAATTTAATTTCACTTCATTACTTCAATGTGCAAAAAAAAATAGTTTTATTGATGATTGAAACTATTACAGTGCGTCGTAAGTATGCAAGGATTACTGACGATAAATCCAAAATTTAAATATTAAAATTTCATAAAATGCAGCAATCCTTTGTACATTGATTATTGATTAATCTTTTAAAAGTGTAAAACCAATTATTTGTTTATGTAATTATATTTTGCGAAAAATATAAGTTGGGCATATGCAATAGCAATTAGCAATACGTATTTTCATTTATCGACGTGAATTTAAAAAAAAAAAATAACAATTTTTAGGTAAATAATTCTGCATTATTTTTATTGTAATTTTATTACATTTAAACTGACTGACATCGTAAAATAGGGTTAACGTGGCGTCGTTGGTAGGCCACTCAACGTATGCCGCCGCCAACGGTCGGCGACTGGACGTTACCAAAGACGTCATAATATAATATTAATGTTACATCATGATTCATGACGAATTGAAGACCCGAGGGCAACAACCAGACATATCCTTTTTTGAAATTGTTCAATAGACAAAAAAAACATTGTAAATTCCAAAAAAAAAATAAAAAAATTTTTTGAAAAATTTTAGAATTTAGTTTTAGGGTACATACAATATATGCACTTAATACTTATAGATACTGCTATGTACTTAATACTTATAGATAATGCTTAAATTTTAATAATAAGTTAAGGAAGCAATAAAAAACTTGTTTGGACATATCTTATTGTTGCACCAAAATAAAACCAGACATCTCCATTTATATATGATATCTCTGTATTTAACTGTCGGATTTGTCTGGTTGTTGCACCAAACGAAGCAGTTATTTTTACTTGATTATGTGCAATCAAAAACTGAATTATTTTGACCAAAATATGGAGATGTCTAATTGTTGTGGCCCTCAGGTCATTAATGTTATTTCGTCATGGTTTATATTTTTTGAGTCTACTGTCGTTATAGCTACGGTTTTTCAACCGATCATCGGCACATCAAGCACTGGCCAGATTTTGGGCTCTAAAAACGATTTCTGGTACCAGGAGTTCATGGGGTTTTGAGTATTGCTCGGAGCGCAGCCGGACGGCAAACACCTGTTCATGGGTTCCGGGTACCAGGAATCGTGTTTCGTGTCACATGCTTGTTTCGGCGGCACCCGAGCGCCGAGCCACATGCGTTCGCATAAATTCCTGGTACCAAAAGTCGTTCATCGAACTCACCTGCTAGTTCGATTTTCAATGATTTTTTTTCAATTTACTAATAATAATAATAATAATAAATTACTCCCAGACTAGCCGCTCGCCGGTATATACACAAAACCAGGTGGCGCCACGTACATTTGAATCGCCATGCCATACCTATTTTCGTGTGGGGGGTTTTTAAAAAATATAATTAATCTGGTAAAATAAACACTATGTTCGGTATTATTGTACTTTACATTACTAATGCGCAGATACAAATTTGGATATATTAAATCATAATTCTTAATACTTGATATAGCGTCAATGATTTTATATATTTATAAATTCAGGGCCGAAACTTCTTGGATTTGGATCTTGAATATTAATACAAAATCTGATTGATTCGACAGAAATTCTCAGACAAAATGTATGCCATCAAAATTTCACCAAATTTGAGTGACTGCATATTACTTAATATGTAATTTTGTGCATCATATTATAACATAAATAAAAAAAAAATTAAGGTAAAACGAACATTTTTGAGTAAAATCGGTTTTCGACAAAATCGATTTTGATTTTTGGTGTAACTCTAGAATAAATTTCCGTAGATACGTTATTTCAGCATTTCTTTTACACCACAAAATTTCAAAATATTTTGACTTGTTTTGAGCTGTTTACGGACATTTTAAGTTTATAATTTGTTTAATTTTCTTCTTTAAATGTTAATAAAATGTAATTCGTTGGGTCAAAAAGCTTGAAAAATTAATACAAGGCGCCTGATATATTGCTACAATAGCAGTTGAAAAATATTAATTATACTTATTTATACATACGCACAATTTTATTTTATAAGCATTTAAAGTTCGAATTTCGACAAAATATATCAAATTTAAAATTTAAAAATGTATAAAATGCTCAAATTTTATAGTTAAGGATTGAAAATTTAAAACAAGATTCCACGTAAGTAACTTATTAGATAACCAAAAAGTATTAAAATAAATAAACACAGTTTTCGTTAAATTTATTTTATGTTCAAATTTGGACGAAATTAGATATTTAGATTAGTTAAGAACGATTTTAGTTTCGTGTTATATTTAAAAAATATTATTCGTTGGTACTTGAAACTTCTTAAGTATATAATTATAATATACAAATATGATAATAAACAAATAATTATAATTCAACTTAACTACAACAATATAAATATAATATTATAAAATATCTTAGGCTGAAAATCCGTCTCCACTCAGAATTGTTTTTCGTTTACAATGATACTACCTATAATATAGGTCCTATATCATTGAATTCAAATTTAACACCATCCATTAGAGGGGCCCACTTGTAACCTACTATTCAGTAGAGCAACACCCACTTACCTGTTTTTTTGGGAATTTTTTGACATGAGTACATACAGTGAAACCTCTAAATACCGGACACTCTTGTCTCTTGATCGCCAAAACTTTGTCCGTTATTCAGAAGTGTATGCTATTCAGAGGGCCCAAATTGTAAGTTTTTAGTTGATTCCCAAGGAAACGTCCGCTATTGGGAGGTGTCGGTTAGGGGATGTTTCACTGTATTTCTTAAATTATTTATTAACCATATAATTTTTGTCATACGTTTAAGTAGCATTTTTTTTCAGGTCTTCCTGTTATACCTGTATATTACATATCAGATATAAATCATATATACTTTACACTTTGAAGGAGTCACTTCCAATGAAGTGGCTCCAACCTTAATCTAAAATCTTAAACTAAGTTGTATGGTTTCAAATGCTTAAAAGGTTATAATTTTTAAGTTCTTATTTACAAATTGTATTATTATATCAAGTATCAACAAAGTGCTCAACATAAATTTGCAGGTTGTGCTTCAAAACATCTTGTATGTTTGAATTTTGGGAAGACAAGCGTGTGTTGTTCTAACTGTGTGTAATTTACCTACTATCAGGGTTTTTATCATAGACTGAGTATAAGGTCTATGTTTTTTTATGTTTAAAAAACTTGTTTTAATCATACATTTTAAACATTTGTTCTAAACGTTTTTTTAATTGTTTAAAATTAATAAAATATATGTTTAAAATAGTGTGAAATCCAAGTGAAAATTGTGTTTTTTTTTAAAAAATAAGGTGTAATTTTTGTGTTTAACTGTTTTTCTGAAATTGTTTGAGTTTTTAACCATTTAAATATACTGTTTAAAACTCAAACACTTTGTTTTATTTAAAACATCGTTTTGAACAGAAAACCCAGTTTTTTTTTTCAAAAATGAAAATAATACATTAATACACCAACTCTGCCTATTATCAAACTTAAAAGTAAGAACATTATCCGTGCTTTCATGAGTTTTTAGGATATTTCAATTTTTAAAGAAGTTATGAGTATGTATAATATTTCAATAAAAAATTACTCAACTCTTTTAAAATTAAAATATTGTAGAAAATCATCAGGGAGCTCAATGTTCTTACCTTTGAGTTTGGTATTAGGTCATTATTATTAGCTTACTACACAAAGTCATAACACATGCGGGTGTGGCATACTCTTAAACGGTCTTCAGCACTTAAGCACTTGTTAGATTAGTTTAACAGATTACATTTATCATTATAAACCTAAATGAACCTATTTGTGATCTATCGTGTTTTTATTTAGTAGTTATTTTTATCATAATATTCATATTTTAATATTGAAATGTTTTTCTTTAATTTAACAGAATTCCTTATTGGTGTGCACGATCAAGTAAATGGGGAGATAGATTGCCAATAGTGATCAAAGAGGAAGAAGAAGAAAAAAAAGAAAAGTCTGAACAAAATTAATTTTATTGCATAAAGTAACGAATATCTAATTTCAAACTATCTAAGCCTGTATGGTTTGAGGTAATAACACGGCAAGCGCAGCTTCCTTATACTTATTCAAAGTGTATGTATCTTCACCTAAAAAATAAGATATGTTATTGAAATTTGTTCAACCTTTTAAATATATGTTAGTTTTACCATTGTTTAATAATTCTGTAACCGCTTCTTTGTATTTCTGCCCCACCATATCTTCATCAATAGAATGTGATTTTACATCATCGTCTGAAACTTTTTCTGGCCATCGAGTTAGTGTAACATACGCTTTTTTGGATGGGTTGTTTTCCCAGATGTAATGTTCCATGTCTGCTTCTTGTTTTTGTCGTTCCCATTCCTCGAAGGTCTGTAATCCAAATCAGTGATACAACATTTAGTACAAAATATTTATTTTTTATAAACATTTATATGTATAAATAATAAATATAAAATAACTTACATTAGATTCGTGATACAAGGCTGTGAGAACGTAAACTCCGTAATCATAGTTTTGTTTTCTTGTTGGACAACGATCGGTGACAATAGTAAGTACATCTGATTCTTCGTCATATCTGTCCCCAACCAATCTGATCATTTTGTCTCTAGCATGTTTATCTAAATTTAATGAGCTTAATTTGATCTAGTAAACATAAGACAAACAATATATGAGTATAACTTTATAAATATTACAATTAATAAATTTTATTTTCACTGTACCTATACCTAAACTAATATTTTCAGAAGTGTATCAAGAGTGAGCCATTGTTAGTAATCCAAAACAGAAGATTAAATCAAATATGTAGTTGGGTTGGTGTAAATAACCTATTTAATTTTGATACTAGGTTTCAAATATTCAACTAAACACTTTTATTTTTAATACTTTTAATATAACTATTAACTCATGATCGAGTTGAACTGAAGTCCAAAATGTAATCAACGTTATGTAACCAACTGTCCTTGGTTATATTTAAAATATATAAACATACAAGTATTGAAGTATACCTATATGGGCTATATGTATATAATTTATAATAAGTAGGTAGGTACATAAAAACTAACTAAAACTGCAAGCATTTAATATCACATGATATTTACTATTTAAATAGATTTTGAGGAAACTGGCGGTAAATTTATTTGATTACACATGGTCAATATAAAAATTAAATAAATCGCCATAAAAATTATCAATAGAAAAATGTATTAAGGGGACACCCGCATGTGTTGTCTCCGTCTTACAAATGTACAACATAACAAAAACTATTTTGTGCGGTACAACTTTTATCTTTCTGTGTTTGTAGTAGTGGCTCCAAAATTTCTGAACATTTAGGGTGAAAAATTATCTATGCAACAGCATGCCCATGTTTTATATAACAATAAAAAGTTTTCATTTGCTTATAAAAAATAATTGGATTATAGTGCAATTAAAAAAAAAGCACGCCGGTGCACAGATAAAGTTCTTCTTTAATCTTTACGTGTTGTGAAAATTTGGTAGTTCTACAACAAATATTGTGCGCAAAACAGTCTTTTGCTATGTTGTACATTTGCAAGGGTGTGACATCCTCTTAACAATTGAAATACCCTGCGCTGCAAATCAGTGTGTTCCAAAATGTTTACATCAATTACAATCATGAAAAAAAAAACAATGTGCAATTATGAGGTTTATTTATTTATTTACAATATGTATAATATTGTAAAATAGAATAATACTACCACACTAGTACACTACTCATTAAAATCCTTAAATCCAAATAGCAAAAACCGTCTGTAGAAATAGAAAAAAATTATAGGTTTAGGAGGGATTATGCCCCCAAATCATTCTAGTAAAAATGGCAATAATTGCTACATACTTTGATTGTAACTATTCTAGATTTTGGATCTTTGATAGTAGGTGACGAATGACAATAATCTGTTGTTATTGTTGTCATTGGAAAATGTCTATCGCAATCCTCATCAGTTTCTAAGTCTTTAGGCCATTCAGTACAAAACTGTTTTAGGGCACTGCAATGTTTTTTTACAGCCGGTGGTGTAAGATGCAAAAAATTTGGAATCTTCATTAACTCAGCATTGCCATATTTACCGGGCGATGCTCTTTTCGGATCATACCCTTGTCGTAGTGCCAGGGGCACAGTAGCTGGATGAAATGTTCTAGGACCAGGCCAAACGTTTGACCACTCTTGATCAACAGGCATACTCAATGCTCTGAAAATATCGAACAATTGAAAACATTTTTCTTTTTTTTTTAAACAATTGAATATATTGTACCTAATGTCAATCAAAATATTATTATGTTACCTGGGAGGTAGAGTAATCGTCTTAATGTACTTCTTCTTCGCGTGAGGCACAAACGATTTTTTCTTCAAGTCCAAGACCCTGAACTTGCCGTCTGCAAAAAAATATTGTTGATTAGCCGATGTTAATTCCAGGGGGGAAACCATCGCGACAAAAGGAAGGGGTTAGCCCATTTCTCATGTCATCGGTATAAGCCGTCGATCTATAATCGTCACCATGTCATAATTTAACATTGCTCTTGGCCGCCGACTCCGATTCGCGATGAGGTAAATATAATAATCATTATTATTATTAACTCACCCGTAGGAACAGCTCTGGTTGAACACCAAACCCGGGCAGGGTAGTAACCGATAGGCATCAACACAGCCGTCGTTCGTCGAAGCGTCGTTTGAAGTGCAGACATTTTTTTATTATTATCGATGTATCGTTAAGCGACGATGAATAAATGAAATAGACCTACTATTTACTAAACCGAACCTACTATATTAAATTAACGTATGTTCCTCTAGCAATATTTGATAAGAGTGCATGGGGTTCCCCATAGATAATAGAAGATAAAATCCTCAATATATGACAAAACAGTATTTCACCGATAGATGTCGCACTAATTCGATATAATTGTTCTGTGATATAACCACTCGATAAAAAAAAACGAGACATAAAATTTGAAAATATTTTCTGATACTTAAAAGTATGTCTCAACATTCTAAGTTAACTTAAAATGTAGTTATGGGCGTAAAGTTTCAGAAAAAAAATTCAGATCGCGTCAAGTTGGAAAGAACAGAGGTCTGCCAGCGAATCATTATACACATCAAATACCCAAATTTTGGAAATTATTTAAATATATAGGTTGAAATACGGGTTGGGCACAATTTTTTCGGATATTTTATGCGCTCCCACTGTAGACCAGTTATTGGCAGTTAATATATATACAGAGTGATTCTTTTATCATGAAACACATATTATTTCAAGAAGTGTTTATTATATTAAATGTCTAATAGTAGATGATTTTTAGACAGTTTATAATAGACTTAAAATTGACAGATTTAGACATCTAGATCTATTGGTTGACAATCTGTTGATGGTTTTTATGCAACATCTACGGTCTATACATACACTACAATTAGGTAGATGGTTTATAACATATTTTAATGCAATGTCTGCCTGACGTTTGAAAATATTTTGTGTAATAATTTTTATTTCAAAATAAAGTCAATAATTAGTGATGAAAATAATTTTGTAATTTTCAATATATATATATATAAAGTATATTGAAATATGCAAATGCTATAAAATACCAACCCTGGTAATTATCTTTATCATGAATTGATACTTTTAACCATTTCATTCAAATGTTTTCCATCAAATGATTTACCTACATTAAAATCTGCAGTGTACTATAATTTATAAACGTATACAACTAAATATTTTCAAACTATAATTTATTATACTTGGTGCCTAGGTATACACTATACGGTCTAAACGTACCTATGTTCTTTTACAAAAATCTTTGGGTTCTACCTACACTCCTACAGGCTACAATGTTCCTTTTCTGGTTTTCTATTTCAGTTGTTGTTAGCATGCCAAATTTAACCATACAAACTAGTTCACAAGTTTATAGACATTCTATTATTCTAATGCATTATCCCGCCAGTGCCCCTAGTCCCTAGACACAATGTTGGAGAAGTTATATTTCTTTGGTCATTAAATTACAATATGAATTATAATTTATAAGTTACCTACCTCTGTAGGTAGGTACCTACTTATCCATAACTCGACTGCAGGGATTTAAATTTAAAAAATTGTAATTTAGGTAACCTATTGGCCATTGATCTATTGTAAAATAGAAACCTTACCTAACCTAACAAATCTATTAAAAACATTTATATAATAAATATGTATCATATTATGTTAAAAATACAAATATATATATATAAATATAAAATAGATATATAGGATAATTATTTTCTTATATTGCATACTTACATAGAAGATGATAATTAATAAAATTATATACCTAACTTTATAAATTGTTAGGTATAGTTAATAAAATGATCAATGTAATAAGGCCATATCTCAAAATATTTAAAAGTTTTGTAAATAAATACTATTTCTGGTAAGTTATTCAGTTTTTAAAACGTACATCATCAAACTTACAAGTCATTTTCGATTACAGTTTGTTATATAGGTACTTTTATTATGTGGTTAGTGATAACTTGTTGAAAATGTTGGGTACCGTAACTCTCTTTTAGTCATCAGTCCATTCCGTTATGGAATTTTCTGATAGGCCAATCTACCACGGGCACCGGACATTTAATAATAGATACTTCTTTTGCGTGCTTTTGTTATTATTGTTATTGATTTATCCACACCCACAAGATTTATATTTGATACTGTTATCACTACCTATTTAATATAATCTACATGACATATGTATATAAATATATAATACTTTTTCTAAGTACGTATGGCGTATAACTCTGAAGTACCTACCAGTATATTCATACATGATACCGCGTTACGTGTTTTACTGCTCATATACCTAGGTACTTTTTTTAATTATCGTGTAACAAGTTCTCACATGCCAATTCTAACATTAAAAATACCTAGCATAATAGGTATATAAAAAGTTGGGTATATTTTAGGTTCTCACTATATTTATATAATGTTTAGATCACGGTAAATTCGCCATGATTTGA